GGTGGTGTTACTTGACATATATTCATATTTATTAGCTAAATCTTTCGTATTTTGTTTTATAGTTTAGTTCATAGCCCAGTCACTGTTAGCTATTTAAAATACTTAAATTGTTAAATTAATTTATTATCCTAAGTTTTTGAATTCATCTTTATAGTTTTTTAAGGTATACAATATATAATGAATTTAGGTGATTTGTAAAGTATAGATAATTCCCTTAAGACCATTTAGTTAAAATATTTTTAATTTCCAATTAAATTTCCAAACGTTTGTCTCACCTTTAGCTTCCTCTCAGATAGCTTTGAGTATGTTTTTCACAAGTTTTATTAATATTGACAAACGTTTTGCTATTCCTAACCTGACTTATGTTGATTTTAAGCTTTTTTATAGTTTTGTTTTATTGTTGTATTTTTTTCCCACCTGCTAGGAACAGCACTGTTTCGTTGTCTAAACAACGTGTAAACAACGTAACTTCATGCTCGTTTAGTTATAAGCTCATGATCAGCCGTTGTCTTTGAAGATCCCTAGGCAAACACTGCCCTCTGATGGCAGCAGCTGTGTACTACAGTTGAAGGTTTAGGTTTGGAGTGATGGATGAAATGATTAGAGAACCTCAGGTGGTTTCTATTACAGACACAAAGCTGAGCCAAACCAGGTTCAGAAGTTTAAAGCTTTGTAGCTAATGGTCTTTGAGAACAGCCCAGAGCCATGTTGATCTTTTCTCCTAAAGAGATGAAAAGAAGATTCTAGCAGGTCTTTCTGTATTTTCACTGAAGGATCCGTGATCAGAGTTGATAGAAAACATGAGGAGTTTGTTAAAAAAAAAAAAAAAAAAATCCAGACGTTTATTTGTACAATGCTTTTTAGGATACAACTAAACTCTGTTTACTGAAGCGTTGAAATAAAACTCATAAACAAATAGGTTGGTTTTAACCTGTTTTTGATCATGTCTGTAAAAGGTCATTATTTTATTTATTTCCTTGTAAACGAATAAAATGTTTGTTATCAAAATCACAGTTTTGAAATGATTATTCACGTTACATTTTGATTATTACCACATGTTTTTCTTTTTGTAAATTGTTAATTCTTGTAATAATATTCTTGCTGCCAGATGAAACTGGCTTTAGAGAGACACAGAAATTAAAAATAAATATATAAATAGTATTTTCACAAACCCCATGTGTGCTACATTAGGTACTTGTTTACCTTCTGGTCTTGAGTTCGGAGCTAATTCTTAACACTGTGATGCCAAATTATCAACGCGGGTTCCTGCAAAGATGAGCCTGGGTAACGTTTGAAGAAGAACTTCGACACATAGTGGTTATATTTCTAAAGTTCAACCTACAGTAGCACTGACTTCTTATACAATCATGCTGCTTTTGACTAGAGTTTCCATCATAGAAACGTGTGTACTGCATTCAGCAGTATGTACAGTATGTGCAGTACTTGAAGTTCAGCGTTCCCATCAACATAATGTGTCCCATTTCTCTGTGTGTGGGGAGAGTGCCTCACTGCAGTGCACACATTCACTCTCCCCAGGTTTAACAGAATATATGGAGGCAACAAATCTCCCAGACAAGTGAAAATTAGCAATATATAAATAAACAAGACAATGACGTTTATCAGATTGAACACCAATAATCCCGTCTTTGTAGCGTATTCATTTGAATCTGATTAAAAACACACATTTTACATTTAACACAATGTCCAAACTTTGTTGAGGCTTGCGTTGTATGAAATAAATCCTCTAAACAAAAAGACGACTGAGAAGATGAAGAAGAAGAAGAATAGCAGAGACACTGCCCTCTGTATTTTCAGTTTTTTCCCCTTTCTTTACAGAAGTAGTACTCAATTATTTTCTGGCATGCCCCCCCCTCCCCCCGTTGTGGACAGAAATGTTTTCATGCCCTCCCCCTCCAACCCACACCTCTGCAAATTTAAATATTTTAAATACTATTGATAACATGGATATTCTTATCAGTACAAACCACTGTATGAGTTGCTGCCACCTAGTGACTGGAGGCTTGTTATAATCCAAGCATTACAGGAGTGGTACACTGAGTGGTTGACATGATATGATATGAGCCATATCACAACATCTAAACAGTGTTTAGTCAATAGGCATTATTCATAAATTCCTGGGAAACATGATGCGAGACGACCCAAAAAAAAAAAATCTCTTGCGACCCACCTGAGGGTCGCGACCCAGTCTCTGGAAAACAATGATTTAATCCACGTACTAGCCATTGATAAAACAATATCTCCAATGAGGACAGGAAACACACTGGATCATTCACCAGTACCAACTGGTACCAGCAACCATTTACACTCACATTCATACTATTGGTCACTTCACATTAGTTTGTCTAGTTAATGTGAGTAATCTCAAAGACAGGCTAACTCTAAACAAAAAGACCATAAGTCAATACCGGGGATTGAACCGTTGATTTTCTTGCTGCAAGACCAAATTAACCACTGTGCCACCATGTCACCACATCAGTTTCTTTTTCATTGTTAATGAATAGCCTTTACAAGCGTCAACATCAGATGAGATCGTTGCTCCTACTGTCACCTCTGTGGCTGCGTCTATAAAGTCTGTGGAATATTCTAGATTACTGTGGTTTAAGGTTGAATTCCTTTCTATACAAAGCGTTTACTTGACACTATATGACCACATTCTGGGCATGTGACTATTTATGACTAAGAAAGCAACCATAAACCCTAACCGTGAATCATAATCTGAGGAAATACCCCAGTGGCTTCAGATGAAGGGTGGATAGAGTTTTTTCTTTTGCAGGGCTTTGATGTGAGTAGGACTCTGGTCCTGGTTGACCTGAGTGTGGTGGTTCCCACTGATACTGTGAGTGGTCAAGGTGTCATATTTACACAACTGTGCCCTGTCTCTGAAGTTACATTGTCAGCATGTCTGCCACCAGAGGGTCATCAGGTGTCACTGCAGAAGAAAAGCCAGGAACAAAGGCCAAGCCCAGGTTCTGTGGGAAACTGAAAGTATTCAAAAGGTACTTTGAGTTGTGGGTGAAAAGAGAAGGGGAGAGGAAGTCCTTCAAATATTCTCTGTAGATAAAAATAGGAGACAGGACCGTGTAATGAGATACAAGCAACTTGTTTCCCAGGTTGGAACAGACGTTTTCTCTGGAAAGCTTCGTTTTGTACCTGAACTAAACAATAAGAAAGGATATGAAGGAAAAAGGTGACGGAAACTTACAACACTGTTCATGACTAATCACTAGCATCACTAATAATAAACATATAAGACAGTTGTATTTTAATGGTAAATCTAAAATTCTATAATTGAAACTTTTGGTGTTTTTTTTTTAAATTATCTGTTAATCTCTAAGTGATTTTTGGGACTTTGAGATTTGTTCCCAAATGTGATAAATGCTTATTATTATTGTTGTTGTTGTTATTATTATTGTTGTTGTTATTATTTTTATTATTGTTGTTGTTTTGTTGTTGTTATTGTTATTATTATTATTGTTTTTAATTATTGTTATTATTATTATTTTACAGAACAGTTGTCATTTTATATGTCATAGCAGCTGATTCTAGGTCTATGCTGCTGAAACATTCAGTAAGGCCATAACTCACATCACACTGGGAAAACACTGTATGCAAACACGTAAAAGGTTAGGTCAAAGGTTAAAGCATTATTAGTAAGAAGAGCAGCACGACGGACTCGCAAGGAAACACCTTTCATCACATTGTTTTTTTTTTCTTCTAATTGAGTCTAAAAACGCATTCAAAAAGGCCACCGCAGAGCAAACACCTTTCAGTCAAGGTCATTACAGGACGAGGTCAAGGACACGGTGTCTTTACGACTGAGTCAGTGTCGTAGGTTTGCAGCCCCTTCCCAGTTCCACAGCTCTGGTTTCTCCTTCCTGTGTGGACAGATCTGACATTTCTCTGGCTTAAATTAACACTAACTCTAAATGCGTCTCTTGTTCTGTTCCTGTGAACTTATGAAGCATCTGTCATTGTGTTAGCATGAATATGGTAACCATTTATGAAGACAGGCAAGAGTCAGCAGGCCATTATTCACGAATGACACCACTGTTAATCAGACCGCGTCGTCCTTAACACACAACAAGCCCCTCAAATAAGGAGAGAGCTGGGCTTTATCTGATACCTGAGGGACTGACACACTCTGGGTCATTAACAAAGGAGAGGACACTGCTGCTGCTGTTAAATTGTTAAAGTGAAAACTTTAATATGAACAACATGGCAAAATAGTAGTGACCCAGATGGGCTTCATATCTGGTACGTATGATGTACGTATTAACTAAATTATTACAATGTAAATGGATGGAAAAAACTGTGCAAGAGGCACTGGATAAGATAAGGCAACTATGATATTATTAGTTTTATTAGTTGGGGGCAGTGGTGGCTTAGTGGTAAAGGAAGCGGACTTTGGGCCTGGAAGGTTGCAGGTTAAGTTACCACTGAGGTGCCAAGTTACCACTGAGGTGCTCTGAGTAGGGCACCATCCCCACACACTGCTCCCCAGGCGCTCACAAAGCTGTTCATTTTGGTGATGGGTTAAATGCAGAGGTCAAATTTCGTTGTGTGCAGTGATGAGTTCACTTTCCTTTCCTTCCTTTTCCTTAAGTGATATTTGGCAGCTATTTTTGATAGGTGAGGCACGCCTCCCCTGAGGGGCGCCAGAGAGTCACAGAGGAGGCCTACATGAGGCTGCATGCATTAAGTGGTATTATTTACCGTTGCAAAAAAGTTGTGAAAATAAAACATTTTCAAACTCAGGCAACTCATGTGTACTAAAGTTGGCCCGTCAATATATAGCCCCTATATAGTGGCAGGATTTGTAGTATTAGCGGTGTATGCGCTATGTTTTAGCACATATATTTTGTGAGTTTTTTTGTTGTTGTTGTTGACCTGTGAAAAAAATACTTATATTAAAAAGGAACCAAAAGACTAATGATAAAGAGACATAATAAGAAACAAATACCACTAATGTGTGTTTTATTTTAAAAGTAATTTCTTTCAGATTCAATTTTTATACAAAACAAAAGTTTGTTTCCATATGAAAAAATACAACATTACATATCTGGAGAGAGGGAAAACGGGCACAACCGCCATTGGCCCACGACTTAGTCACAGCTTTTAATTTTGACCCACTGTGAATTTGAGTTTGACACCACTGATATAGAGCAAACTCACATTCCACCAATTAAAAAACACATTTTGTCAGTTGAGGTCATCATTTGTGTTCACAACGCTATTCCTTTTTTCAGTTAAAAGAGAGATCTGATTTAAAAACAGCAAAATACTGTATAAAAACCATCTCTTCCTCCAGATCTGTCTCCATTTATGCAGTTAAAAGAAGGATGTTTTGGTTTCTTTACAGCCTGAAGGCTGCCTCCTTCTGGATGCCTCGATAATATCAGAGTTCTTCTCTTTCATATATCCTCCAATGAAGGCCATGTGGCCTCAGCTGTTCTACACAGACGCCTTCTGCAGCAAATGTTCTAGAATCACTATTTTATCACTATTTCAGTCTCTGAAAAACACCAATCCAGATGTGGTTGATCACAATAAATGTAATACTCACATGTTTGGCTCACGTATATTCACTCAGCACGTGGTTGTCCAACATCAAACCATCTGTTAGTCTTCGCCACATCTGATCCCGCGACAGAAGAAGAACAAGTAGGACGGTGAAGGGAGGACACACGTTTCCCATAAACAGATGGAACCTGACAAGTTCTTGACAAATGTTCTGCCGTCTAAGGAGAAGACCGCAGCCAGAGAAATGACAGGGAAATAATAAGTTCAGTGAATGTGTGTTTGAGTGAACTTCAGACAGTACTGTATCTAATTAAAAACATAACCAAGACGCCTGGGGGGATCACACAAACAAAGATTTCATTCAAAAAAACAAAACAAAAGCAGAACATTGCTGTAGGCATTAAAGATGGAAACACAGAGCATTTTATAACAAATGTGGTCTCACTGTTTTTTAGTTTTATATGAGTTGTTTTTTCAGTGCACATAAATTCAAAGCAGAGACCGTCAACGGTAGGTACTGTTGGAAGTGAGACGGCAAAATTTATTAATCTATTTCTAGATAACATCTAAAATCTCTGTATGTTTTACTCCTCCGCCACCCTTAAGGGGCTCAGGACAGAGTTACAAACAGAAGAGAAGTTGTAAAAAGCTACTGTTATTGTGATAATTAACTTGATGTTAGCATTTAAAATCGTACCGTACATCGCTTTGTACATTTAGGAGCATCAAAATACCGTGTAGAAATAAGTATTTTATTATCAAGGGTCACTCATCGAGAGCAGAGTTTTTAAACAGAGCGAACATGCTCCCTAGGGGCTCCATATGGGTACTGCACAGGGCAGAAACCAGCCACTAGGGTACACTAGGGTACACAAGGCAGTGCTACTATAATGATACTATAGTGCCGGTCCCAAATGGTGAGGGTTGCATCAGGAAGGGCATCCGGCGTAAAACTTTTAGCCAAATCAAATATGCGAATAACAAAAATGATTTCCATACCGGATCGGTCGAGGCCTGGGCTAACAACGACCGCCAACAGTGGTGTTGACCTACAGGGTACTGGTGGAAATTGGACTACTGTTGGTCGAAGACAAAGAAGAAGAGGAGGACAAATGAAAAAGAGAAAAGAGGAAGGATAGAAGTGTTAGTCTGAAGTTTGGAACTTTGAATGTAGGTACAATGACAGGGAAAAGCAGAGAAATAGCTGATGTGATGGAGAGAAGAAGAGTAGATATTTTGTGTGTGCAGGAGACCAGGTGGAAGGGCAGTAAGGCTAGAAACATTGGAGGAGGCTACAAACTGTTTTATCATGGT